ACAAGGGAATGTCTTCACAACTAGTGTGCTTAAAATTTGAAACTAAGAGAAAAACGTTTCTCCTGCAACTTTAAAACTGCGTCGTTTTGAGGGTACGAGGAATTAACGAAGGATATTGTAGTAATTTTATTTGTTTCTTTATTATATAAATTTTACCAAAATACCCTTTATTAATCCCCTCAACCTTCAAAATGACATAATTTTAAGGTTGCTAGAGATATTATCTCCTGTGCGAGAAATGATAAACTCTCAAACTAATAGTGTAAGAACCCGCACCGTTAATTAAGGTATTTAATTAATTAATTACGCAAAAATAGGAAATGATTCCATAATTGACCCTAATAATTATTTATGAGGCTTAATAATCATAATAAGTGATTGAGAATGCTGAAAGTCGCTTTTCGGAAGAAAAGTGCAGATACCGGTTCTGCTAGTCAGTATAAATGCGTGCCAAAAAAGTATCCCGGAAAATTAAATTAAGTGCATGAAAATTACTAGAATAATATGTAGGACTTGCAAAACGATTTTCAAGTCCAAATAATGAGAACTGGTGCTAGAAACCCGTACTGGCTTTGAAAAGCGCGTACCGGAAAGGTGCTCAGAAAAATATAAGAAAAATATGATAAATCTTAGAAAATTATGTAGTTTCATAATCCAGAGTTTGGCATTAAAATGCTAAGCGTAGCAATTAAAGTTAATACTGCGTGTTTAATAGTTAAGTGGCTATATATACTCTTACTAAGGGCACATTGCCCTAGAAAACTGCCTCTTCGTGGGATTTGGTGGCTGGTCTGAGTGTGTCACTGTTTCATCCCTTTCTTCACCATTTCTTGAGCTTTGAGGCTTTCTTTTCCTTGAAAGCTTCTCTTAAACACTTGTGTGAGGGAGTCACATTTGGGAAGGGGTTTGTGGTGCTGTTTCTGTGTAAGGAGGTCAGTTTGAGGGAGTGTTGGGGGCTGACTTTGGGTTGGTGGAGTGAGTGAACCTTGTACTTCATTTTTGAGGTTCAAGGAGCCACCTTTGGTGAGGAAGAGCCTTGCTTGTCTTCCATTTTCTCACACCCTGTGTGGTCAGCAGTTGAGGGGCTGTTGGTGAGCTCCAAGAGCATCTCCATTCTGAGTTTTGAGCCTTGGTATGTTGTACCAACCTTTAACTTGAGTTTTAAGGCTTAAAAATGGTACCTTGATGCATCTAATGACTAAAAGATGATAACTTGTTGTTGGGTAATGTTGAACACGCCTAGAAATGCATGATTAGGTGTTTAAAATCGGTAAAAGAGAACCTTTTTGGGATATCTTCACGAAAATGCAGAAACTGCATTCTGTCGTGAAATATCCGGATATCTGCCCGTGTAATATCCGGATATTGGATATTCGGATATGATATCCGGATATGTGTATTCGGATATGGGGTTTTGGGATATCTAGATATTGGATATCCGGATATGTGAATCTGTATATCCGGATAGTGCGTATCTGGATATGGACAGTGAGATATCCGGATATTGCATATCCGGATATGGTCCCGAGGAATATCCGGATATTCTGGGATTTCGCAGAACAGTAGTTGTGCTGTGCATACAGTAGGCTATTGGGGGGTTTGTAGACCCTAGATTGATGAAGTTGAACTTCTGTTTTTAATGGATTAAGCCAGAATCATGGGATTAAGGGCTTGTGGCTTTGTTAGAAGCTTTAAGACTTGAAAACGTAATGAAAAGGCGTTGTCTTTAATTTGTATGCATGTGGTACATGTTTATTGATTTATATTTGGTCCATATCAGATTGTGATCTGCTGTGATTGGACTTTGAGCTTGTGGCATTGGATAGCTAGCTTAGAGGTAAGCTTTCGTGTCCTCGGTTTAGCCATGTTGTGGTTCCACCATGTCCCATGGGGATATGGTATATGCATGTTGTGTTACATGCTTTTGATGTTTTGGAAATGCTGTTGAGCTATTATATGTTAGTGCCTTGTTGATATGCATGGAGGTGTTCCACATATACGGTAAGCCTGAGTATGTAGAACATTCAAGAGGGTGAGGCTGTGGGTGAGGTGCAAGCGGTGTTCCTTGTACTACATGTAGGGAATAGACATATTCCTACATTTCTCTGGCCAGTAGATAGTGATTACACACATGCCATAGATATCTGTTGCACTACATAGTTTTGGAACTGATAATGATATATATGTTTTTTGAACTTATATTGCACATGTAAGTGAGCTTGGGGTGGAAGATAATTGAGGACCCCTTGTCTTACTGACATTTCTAGTTTAGAGATCTCACCCCACGTTTGGGGAATGCCTATTTCAGGGTCAGGTAATGTTGAGACCTCAGGCGGCAGGAGGCCGGAGCTGAGTTAGATTGCTGTTATATTATGCTGCCATGATTGGATGCTGGTTTTGCATGCTGCTTTTATGCTTATAGCTTCAGTTTATGTTTTGGAGTTTGATGTTGAGACTTGTTGTTTACTAGGTTTATTTGGTGAGCATGGGGATTGTCGATGACACATAGTATTATTATGTCTTGGTTATGTCTTGAGTCTTTTGGGGTTGTAATAAAGTATCAGGATATTGTCCGGATTACTTGATGTAATGTCGTGATTTAGATACACACTTTATCTATATATTGAGGTATTTCAGTAGATGTCTTATTGCAATTTACATACAGACGATATTTTATGAAATTGATTAAGTAATCAAGTTGGTAATTGATAATGACGTCATAATTGAAAAGAAATAGAATATTCCGCAATTTTAATTAAGCACCGCTTAATACGATGTAATGTTAATATTCCAGGTATATACGAGGTGTTACAAATAGGGTAATTCATTTACTCCCAAATAAAAATTAAATAAAAATGGGTAATTCTCTGTCCTCCAAACTTCACAAATTTACTCTTGATTATATATTACATACACATTTTAGAAAAAGTATTCACACTTTTTTTTGGTAAAAGTATCCACAAATGTCTTCTAATATTAACATTCCATCAAAGTAATTTGCTTTTAAGAAAGAAAAAACTTGGATGAAAATTTTAGGCAAATCATGATGTGACCAATAAAAACATAATATGAATATGTATGAATTTTAGGCCCTAGTCTTTTTTAAAACTCAGTCTAAATAATAACAAACGTAAAATATTTATATCATAGAGAACTTTCTTTTTTCCCGTATCACCTTTGGGAGGTGTTTAAAGCCTTAATCCTGGACTCGCTCCAAATCGGATTAGTTGCAAAACAATGAACCGATTGGAATATTTCCAAAAAAAATAAAAATAGAAAACTTTTTTTTTGGACTTTTTTCCCCTAAAAACCCGGAAGTTGGTCTCGTAATTAATTTATGATTAGGACCTAAAAAGCCTTGTCTATAGTCGACAAACATGGCATCCGCTTTGACCAATATGACAATGGTTTGAAAAGAAAAATTTGTGAATTTCCTAATGTTTATTGTTGACAAGTCCTTAACAAAAAAGAGGGCATATTAACAATAAGAGCAAAAAAGAAAATGGTCCCATATATATCTGAAGCATATAGAGGTCAGTTTGACGTGGTAATCAATAACCTGCCCATAATTTGATATTAATTAAATGAACTTCACCTTCTACCTCTGATAATTATCCGATAGATCATCCCACACATAACACACTACCACCTTGGTCCTTAATCATTCAACATTTAGGTCATAATAACGGAAACAAAATAATAAATCATTAGACTTAGGTTACTTAAATGTCAATTTGACTTGGTAGAATGGAACACATCCATTTCAAAATCCTTAAAAGGGTGGAAAGGTGAAGTGAGAAAAATTAACCAGTGTGTCCTAGGTGCAAACTTCCCACCAACAACTAGTGCTGGTGCTTCTTCTAAAACACATAAATAACACTTGAAGAAGGAAAATAAGAGTTTACATCAATGTTAAACCCTAGTTACCCAAAAAAGCTCGTCCTAACTGCATATATTTAGTCTTGGAAATGGTGAAGGGTAGTAATATGAGCTCTCTACATTTACTATTTCTAGGGAAGTCAATTCCCGAACCTTAATCCTCTCAGAACTCTTTTAGGGTGCTGAGAAGGGATCATGCAAGGTGCGCTCTTGACTTCTCCCCATCTTTGTAAATATAAGTCCAAGTTCCTCACCACCTTTTGATTTTCCACAACACAGTGCATCCGCTTATCCTACTTGCAAACTGCAAGAGAGTTATCAAAATAAAAAGAACATTAAATTGAAGAAGTAGAAGAAACAAGTGTATGTGAAGAAGCAAACATAGCTTACCAAAAAAAAAGAAGAAGAAGCAAATATAGTAAAAAAAAGCAACCCGAATTTACGAGGATAAGGATTAGTGTCAATTGTATACAGTCTAATGAGTGCAATCTTTTTAAGTAGCATTATTTTTGCATATTTGAAAAGAAATTTTTTTTTTGGATTCGAACCCCGTGACTTTGAGTCTTACATACAATTCCTATATTTCTAGAAAAAAACAAAAATTGAGGGTGAAAGCATATGTTCGAATCTCCCTAGTATCATCTTTGGAAGAATTTAAAGCCTTAATCTTGAACGCGCCCCGAATCAGATTAGTTGCGAAGCAATGAACCGATTGGAATATTTTCAAAAAAAAAAAAAAAATTATTTCCTAGACTTGAACCAGTAACCTTTCGATCATAGAAAAGTAACCTTACAGCTTGCCCTAAGACCCGCCCTCATAAGGAAAATCAGAAGGATAAAACAGTAAAATCAAAGCTTTTGGGTACTACCACTCCTACTCTACATGATTTGAAAGAAATCCTGAAACCTCAATCCACTAGAAAACATATGCACACCTTACATCTCACAAAAAGTCATTAGCATCACTAAAATCTTACGGCCCAGAGTTGATTAGTGAACTAAACACTTAAGATCATGAAGCATAGGATATATCAAAAAGTGTTAAAATGTACGAAAAAGTGACTATGTTAACTGAATAGGTTCATTAATGAGCTTACCGCACAATCCATTGGTTTTGAAGCTCAAGCAGCTTCACCGGTTAAGGAAGCTTTGATTCTCTCAACAGTGCAGGCAATAAGGTTATTAACAGTAGCAACAGATCCAAGAGAAAGCTTAGCAGTTGGAACTGAATCAACCAATATTTGAAATGCAACAGTTAAGAGAGATCCACCAGAAGCAGTTTCAACAATGCCACTTCCATGAGGTGTGGTTCCATCAGGGAGAATAGCAAACCCAGAAGGAAGAAGGGCAACATAGTCAGGGTCACCTCCATTTAGAACAATATTCATAGCAGCAATGTCTACTGGAGCATAAATGACAAAAGAGCCTGTTGAATCGGTGCAACTCTCTTGTAATATCAACATGTTGCTCTGGCTTGAATTGGCACTCTACATGGTTATGATTTAGTTCAGTTATAGAAAGGGTTTTTCAAATTGAAAAAAAAAAAAAAAAGTAAATATAAAGATATATCAACATACATTTACTCTAAGTAGAGACACACAATTTCCAGTTTCTCGTCCATTTGCAATGTGTGCCATTTCTTGGACAACTCCACCATTGGAAAGAATATCCCACTGTTATTTACGGGGACAAAGAAGTTAAAATGATATAAAAAAAAAAAAAAAAAAATTTAAAAAAAATAAAATGGAGATGAAGATAAAAAATTAGTACTAACCCATAAAGCACATGATTTGTGGTTTAATTTAAGAATTAAATAGAACTATTCATTTAGTAACACTTATTTTTAGGAGCCTCAATAAAAAACTATTAACTTAATTCTATTTTTAATAAAAAAATAAGATTGCTTCTGAAGGACCACATTGATTTCAATATGCACAGCTATAAAATTATTAAAATTTCCCAAGACAAATCGATATCCTTCATAATTAATTAAAGGAACACATGAAATTTCTTATGTAAGCTAATAATGCTTAGTATATGTCTTGTTTATGTATATTACTTCACATGGACATAATTAGAACATAAGTATTGAAAAAATGAAATAGAATTTTCTGAAATTAAATATCAAAAAACTGTACAAAAATATAAAATGATGTGCGATGAAAGCTTGTAAGAGGGAGAGTGAAGAAGAAGAAATAACAGAAATTCAGATGAATACATCCACCAAGTAAGCAATATTACCAAAATGGACCTATACTAACACACAATAATGCATACCTAAAACATGAACTTGTTTGAATTCTTGACATACCTCACTTCTGGAATTCTCATCACGTAGGAAGTCAAAAACTCGTTTAGGTGAAACTGGGAGCCAAAAAGAAGTTGCAGCACTGAGAACAATACCAGGAGGTCTTCCAGGGTCATCTACACTCTTTCGTGTCATGACCCTAACATCATCAGCTCCGGTTCCAGAAAGTGTTGTCCATGTATGTGCAGTTGAAGCACTCACTCCAGCACAAAAGCTTATAACCATTCTCTCAGCCAGTTTCAACATACTCTTCCTCCCTTCTTGGTTTGTTATCACTATATATATATATAATATTATAACAATTTATAAGTTAATGTTAAGATAAGAAAAAGTCCCCAACAAAGACTTTATATTAAAAATTTAAAAAGAAAAAAGAAAAAAAAAAAGTGTTCATTAATACCTCCAACATCTACAGTGGGAATGTTTGTTGCCATGGCGCTAGCTAGCCTTTCACATTGTCGATCTAAGGTTCCAACCCAACGTTTTGCACCAAATGCATGTCCAGTGCTAACAAGCTGCTTGTAAAGATTATGAACACCTCTATCATCCACTTCCACATGCTCAACCCATGTCACCTAAGGCATAGATTAAAGGTTAAGCCACATTGACAACATAAAAATAAAAAATAAAAAAACCAACATATACATATATAAGTCATAAGGTTTATTAGTTTTCTTACCTTTGAATAGCCATTTGGCAATTCTTGAATTAAGCAACCAGAAGGCCTTCTTCTACATCTCACTGAAGGACTAGGGCGCAAATTATCCAAGGACACATCCACAACTGCCCAAGTCCCATCTGTATGTTGTTTACAGTACCTTACAAAATAACTCTCACGAGTTGGCACTAGAGGTGTAGGTACTTGTAATTCTGTCGTCATCTGCATAATCAAACAATTAGTTTGTATTTATTTGTTTTATTAACAAAATGGTTAGAGGGCGAGCCTTCGAGCAGCCTTAAGATTGTTCCTTTGTGACCGAAAAATTACAGGTCGAGTATGGGAACAGACTCTTTACAAAGATGCAAGAGCAAGATTTCCCCATCACCTTTACCCTCACAAAGTTGGAGAATCTTGTGTGATTTTCCCATATTAACAAAGGGATTTATACTTCTCATGTAACATGAGAAGGAAAATTTTCCTACACACCATTCGATTTTCGTGTTAACATGGATCTCACCCATGACTTTTTCTAACATATGAGTCTCATATATTTTTTGTCTCTGTGGCATAAGAAAGCTCATCTCAATGAGAAGTATAAATCCCATTAACAAACTTCTTAGTAAGTTAAACTACTTAATAGATAAGAAAATTGATGTAATTCTATGAATATGTACCACTTGCAAAGCACCATTGTAGTTCCCCGCCACTCCTGTAGATAGCACTTCCAAAGTCATGGCTCTTGAGACAATACCAGAGAACACTGTAGACCATTGGTTCTGAAAAGTACAAAAAAGGAATAAAATGTCGAAGTCTAGAAAAAATAAATAAGAGCATGAAAACCATACATACATTGTAGAAGCGAAAAGTAGTAATGTAAGAGAAAATAATATACCACATCCATGAGAATCTCAACGAGGTTGACATGATTCATGATAACAACAGCAGTTTCTCGTGAAGCTTCACATCTGAAGCCAGCAGGTTTTGGGCCAATTCCTCGAGGAAAAGACCTGATATATTCATCCTCATTTAGCATTGTGGCAGTGCCATCAAGGGTTGTTAACCAAAGAGGTTCACCCATTTGTGCCATCCCAATGAGCTCTTCCATAGCTGCTACAGCAAGCTCTATTATTATTGGTTTATCAGCTTCACTAGGTCCACTAATTGACCTCAAAATATCTCCAGCACCATACATATCCACACCAATCCCTTGTTGGACACCAAAACCAGCACCAACACCAAGTTCCAATGGACGAGGAGGGAGAGAAGATGAGATGTTTGAATAATTCACCACAGGCTTGTTGCCTACGTACTTGGCAGCAATTGCTGAAATCCTATCAATCTGAAAATTAAAATATAAAAAATTATTAAAAACGTTATATAAAATAATAATCAATCACATAAGAAGTTGACAAACTCTTGTAATGCACCTCTTCTCTTAGCCTAGCATTTTCAATCCTCAAGTGATGTTCATCAAATGACATTTCACCGATAGCAGTTGGTCCACCACAATTAGGACATGAAGCATTGCTAAGAGCTTCCCTATACCTCATGTTATCCGTTCGAAGCTTTTCATTGTCGTTTCTAAGCTGTGTGTTCTCGTGGCGTTCATGTTGAGTCTGAAACAAAGGATCACAACCCTTATAAGCACCAATGGAAAATCAAGCAAAAAAAAAAAAAAAAAAAACACAATCATGTTACGTATATACCTTCATCTGAGTGCGCTTGTTTTGGAACCAAAACTTGACCTGCAATGGCTCTAACCCTAACTCCTGGCTCAGTTCCCTCCTTTGCTTGTCGTCTGGGTGGGGACACTCCTTGAAGAAACTTCAAACCAAAAAAAATAAAAAGAAAATCAAATTTCAATTTTTTTTCCTTAAAAGAAAAGAAAAGAGAGAAAATAAAATAAAATAAAAAAATAAAATTTAATTGCAGCATAATATATGTGAGATTTTTTTTTAAAGTGGGGTGTTTCAATTTTGGGTATCTTACGCTTCCATTTCCTGGATCTGGTGCTGGGTGTGACGATGGTAACGCTTCTTTTTGGGGCGAGGTTCTTGGTCTTCACCAGAAGCACCTTCTTGGTTTTCACTTCCAGACTTAGTAGCACTGTCGAACTCATCTTCACGGATTCTAGGGACATCACTCTCCGAAGTGTTTGGAGCCATGTCCAGTGGAAGAAGCTGACCACCTTCCATCAAATTTGGCTGGAACATATCTACAGATCTTTAAGATTCCGGAGGCTTATTGTTTTTCAATCTAACAAAACAAAACAAAACAATACAAAAGATACATATAGTATAGTACCGTACACTCAAAAAAAGACAACAAAGACAACAACTTTTTTTCTTTTCTATTTTTTTTTTTTGACGGGGTAATTGACATATAGAGGAGGAGTACTTGGTTTTATAAAATTTTTAACTTGGTGTTAAACTTGGGTAGAAAATAATGGGGATTTGACTTTTATTTTTTATTTTTATTTTTATTTTTTTGAGAAATGAAAGCGGTTTCAAAAATTTAGTGGAGATGGGGAAAACGCGGATTTCGAATATCGAGATGGATATGTAGTTCGCCTTGGTTGGTACAATACAAAGAGCAAATAAGTCCCTTGAAGTTTTGATGTAAAAAGAGAGAGAGCATAAAAAAATGTGAAAAATTGAACTTGGGTCAAAATTCGGGTTAAGGGGAGGAATTGAAGAGGTGGGGGGGAGTGGAGAAAAAAAAAAAGATGGAAAGTTAAGCACCGACCTGACCAAGAGATAGACCAGAGGATGATCCAAACCCGCCAACAACGTTGTTGTTTCTTCCAAGCATCGAGGGCATGTTTCTCGCCGGAATCATAATAGTGGCTGGCATATTTCACCACCTTCAAAAGCACCAACAACCACTATGTATAGAATTCACCCTTTTTCTCTTGCTCTTTCTCTTCTACCTATCTAGGATTGGCTTGGCCCTTTTTTTTTTTTTTTTTTTTTTTTGAGGTCCTTGGAGAGAGAAGAACTTCAAAGGTTGAGCTTTTAGACTATGTAAGCTGGCGGTGTCAAAGCAAAGTCAGTGTGTTACTACAAAACACAGATTTAAAAACATTCAAACATGACCTAAAAGAAAAAAGAAAGAAAGAAAAAACGTCTTAAAACTAATACGCTATAACTGACAATAAAAAGAAAATAAATTGTTGAATATGATCTACTAATATTACCTTTTTCATAGCACAAAATCAACCCAAACCGAATCAAAAAAAAAAAAAAAAAACTCCTACGAAGATCTCGGCGAATCCAACAGCTATTATTCTTTCTTGCAGAACTTTCACACTCCAGCAACCCTAGGTAAAAGCTCACTCAGCAAATGTTAGAACCCAAAAGATAAATAAATAAATAAATAAAAATAATAATAAAATTGTGACGAAACAGCTTCACTGGTTTTGTTATGCAAAAACAGTGAGTCATCTTTAGAAACTGAAAGGTTTTTCACATACCAGTGAGAGGTCTAGTTGTTGGAGGGCTAGCTAGTAGAAGATAAAGGGGTAGATCTGTTTTGGGACTATAAACTTGTTTCAAAAAAGAGGACCCATTTAAAAAGAAAAAGAAAAAAAAAAGGATTCTGAGACTGTTATGGAAATTAAGTAGCTGATATGGTAAGTAGAAGAGGGTAAGGTGGGTTGTGTTGGTCTAACCAGAAAAGCTTGTATTACACAGAGAAAAGGGTGTGAGAGGAAGAAGAAGGAGGAGGAGAATGAGATTGGGACAAAGGCATTGAAGAAGGGATAGAAAGAGAAAGAGGGAAGTGGGGAACAGATGGAGGAAAATATGGCAGCGATGGAGTTATTGCAGAGCGTATTGAGAGGGTGCAATTGCATTAAATGGTGGGCATAAGTGGTGTAATTGCTACGAGAGGGGAGAGAGAAAGAGACGCAGCATACTTTTTTATGTATAATTTTATTTTTTATTTTTATTTTTATTTTTATTTTTATTTTTTTTTGCCTTTGCAGAGTGTTGACGGTGCAAAAAATGACGGCTACCAAACTAATGGTAACTTCAAATTTGCGCGTGTAACTCAATTAATTTAAATTTTCTTTTCGTTGAAGATAAAATATTTGTATGATTATTGAAAGGGTTTAGTCTGTGTCACGTAATTTGTATCTTTTTAATTTTTAATTTTATATATTTTTGATAACATAGAGTTATAATATGAAAAATTATTTTTTTTATTTTTCATATCAGTTGATGTGAAAGAGATTACAAAAACTAATTTTTCATGTTATAACTATATACTATCAAGAATATACGACTAAAAAAACTAAAAGAACATAACTTATATCCGTTAAAAACACAAATAATTTTCCCTTATTGAAATAGGTTTTCTAGTCTGCTTTTTTTTTTGGTAACCACAATTTTCTAATCTTTTATTTTATTATCATCATCATGTTATATATAAAAGATCTGAGTCATTTTTTTTAATTTTTCGAAATATTACCATTTCTTTAAATGAGATATAATCTCTTTATCTCCAACATTTTACAATATATTAACGGATTTGAATCCTCTCAATTGAAAAAAGTGATTATGTTATTTGATCATAATTATTCATTTAAAAATTATATATTTTTCTCTCTCTTATTGATTAAATAACATTATCATATGGCCATTTTTTCACATGAGAGGATCCAAATCTATATATTAACTATTATGATTTTAATAACCAAGTTCCTTGAATGTAGACAAGAAAATGATCATTTTAATTAATAATAATTGATTTACGATTGAATGATTAAAAAATGATATAATCAAATTGAGCTGGTTTGCATTTAAGAACATATATATGCTGATCTCGGTTCTTATTTTTTGCTTTATTACATCCATCCCATGCCTCTTTCATTTACAATGTGCTGCAAGCCAAATGGTAAATTAAGATTTTGTTTTTCTTAAAAAGATTATATATAATATATTTTAAGAAAATTATATTTATATATTTAAAAATATAATCATTTGTATTTGTATTATCTAGGGGTGTCCGCAGTCTGGATGGATCGATTTTGGAAGCCAAAATTATCCGATCCAATTGCTTCGGTATGATTATCTAATCATCCATTCGATTTGAATTTTTTTTCAAATCCGATCCAATCCAATCCCATTAGTTAACGATAATATATATATATTTTTTGGGCAATGAGATATGAAGCTCTACACTACATAGATGAAATTTTGTTGATGAGATGTGACTAGATTTTTTTTTGAGTTTAGTTGATGGGTTTTGGGTTTAGAAATTTTTGGGCTATGATTGGAGAAAGACCCAAGTAGGTAGAGAGAAATTAATATATTGGATTGGTTTGGATTAGATTGGTTTTCATCAACCAATCTGAAAACCGATCCAATCCAATTAAAATTTGCAATTTTTTCGGTTTTTGATTTATTCAGTTATCGGTTTTTCGGTTCGATCACTGTGGTTTGAATCATTTTGTGGAAAATTTTGCCACATATAGTTCATACAATGATTTGCATTCTATTGAAAAGTGTAAACTTTCCATCTTAAGCAAGTTTTTAAAAAATTTAAAATTATATGCGTCATGGACCAAGTGAGACTTGATCCATGGTGCAACCTAATTAATTTAAATGTTAAATTAATAAAATTAATTTGATTTATAATTTGAATTGTGAATTTAAAATTTGAATTTAAATGTAGTCATGAAATTAGATTTGATAACAATGGAGAAAATTAAGGAAACCAATTAATTAGATTAATTGGTTCAAATTAAGGAAATCGGTTAATTAGATAGATCGACTAAAATTATATAAATCAATCAATTGGATAAAAAAAATTACTCAATATGATTAGGAAGTGATGGAGTGCTAATCATGGGGGTTAATTAGCCATATTTAGTTTTCCTTTTACCTTATTTAAATGAGACATTTTTCTTATTTTGCTAATCCAAAACCCTAGCCGAAAATTATTCACTATTGTGGCGGCCCCTCTCTCTCTTGAACAAACCCTAGCTGCCACTCTCCCTTGGCTCTTCTCCTGAGTTTTAGCAACCACTCTTGAAGGATCTTGGATGTTGAAGAATCGTTCTTCCATCATTGTGTGTCTCATCCGCTTATTCCCACTCTTCAATATATCTCCTACACAATATTCCTTCCATCTTCCTTTCTATTTTCCGAATTGTAGCTTCCTCCAAAATTAAAATGGACATCTTCGGCTTCTGACTCAAAACAAGCAAGATTTGAAAAAAAAAAAGCTTCAGCTATGTAGGAAATGACAATTGAGAAACCCACACAATTCAAGTAATTTTGGTCTTTTGCAAACAATGTTACACTCAACAATTTTGCATCATTTGTTCTTTCGAAATTATTTCATTTAAATTTTATACTCTACAATAAAAAATTCATATCCCTCTATACAAATAAAACATTGTTTCTCTTTAAACAATAGTTTCACGTACATTTAATGCTCAATACCAATTTCAACTATAATAATAAATTAAAAATGTTTCCTATTTTTATGGTTGTTTCTATCAAGTAAGTCTTTGAAAGAATTATATAGTTAAAATATTAATTTTTGTTTGCAAACTTTATAATATGTAACCAATTTTTAGTAACACATAATGTTTTTAAAGATATCATATTTGTTATTAAGTAATTTAATTTCAAATATAATGTGATTTCATATGTGAAAGTTTAAAAATAAAGTATTCTCTTTGAATTTAGTTTTTTTTAATTCTTCTTATTGTTTACTATTCCATTATAATTTAAAAATATAAAATAACAATATCTTACATGTGTTAAATCATCAAAAGATTCTTGCAGTATACCAACAAAGCCCAGCACAGTTGGTAGATAGCTGAGTTCCTTAAGCATGCTGACAGGGGTTCGATCCCTGACCGTGCGTATGGAAAAAGCTTTATTGGAAGAGGTTTACCCACTTAATGTGATCTCCCACCTCGAAAGGATTAGTCTTCGGCTGTCGGCCGGAGGATACCTTGGGAAACCAAAAAAAAAAAAAAAAAGATTCTTGAAGTATAAATTTATAATGTACAATTCATATTTAAATATCTTTCATGTGCATTACTATACAATTGCTCATATTTGTTGGATATCATTCATAGGCACCTGACAAGCCACCTCACTCATTTACACAATAATCACAAAATAAACATCAACGATGATTTAGAAATCAATTATATATTACTTATTGCTGGAAAATTCTTAAATTTAAACCTAGCTAATCAGCAATCCTTGTTAATATATCGTTTTTAAACTTAACTAATAGTATTATTTGCATTTAAATAAATTATTATTTTGTAACCTCAACTTTTACTCACAATGAGTAGAAACTGAGCGAAGGGAGAAGATAGTTAATCACTTTTTCCCTAATTTTTTCCACTTTCAATTGAAAGTGAGCTTTGCTGATTGAGTCATTGCGAGCTGCAAGATCAATAAGAGTTTGGGATGAAAATCTAGCCCCCTATAAAGAAATTGTTTAGTTGAATTATGACCAAGACCACTACTACATGGTTTATGTCATCCAATATTAATGGAGTTTAAATTCACAGACACACGTATAGGAGCAGGATATTCTTACACCGGTGTAAGAGTTAGAAGCCTTAAACTCAATCTTGAGCATTGATCCACTTGTATCCAACGGCTCACATTATCAAAAAATTAGAGCCCTTAGATATAATTGGAATCAACAATCAAAAAAGGATCTTTTGACACCGATGTCAAATTTTGAAATTTGGTACAAAATTCTAACCATTAATTTTTGCCAATCAACAGATATAATTTCCGCCAATAAAACTTATTAATTAATTATTAATTCCCAATAAAAGATAACAATTGATTGACAGAAATTAATGGTTAGGA